TCCAAAATTCAATTATTTCTACTATATTAAGCTCATATTTGACAACCATTATTTGGGGGAAACAAAATTTTGAATAGTGATTTTTAGCAGAATATGGGGTTAAAATGTAGAAAAAATTGGATTTACCTACATAAATATTTTATTATATGAATGTATAGTTAAGAATGGATATGTAGGAAGAAAAAAAAGGTTTTCAAATAATGATTGTCAAACATGGGCTAAATAATCTTTCGAATTGGTTGTTTTATTGAATTTGCTTCACTAATGGGATCACGATTCGACTTTGATAGTTATGGATTAGTATCAAGATAATAGCCATAACAATAACAATGAAAATGGCTCCCACTTTAGTGAAATTGTATGAGCAAATGTCCAAACCAAAATATGTTATTGCTAAGGAAGCCTATACAATTACAAGAGGGATGTCCAGTACCGACTCTTATAGTACTGTTCGAGGAGTCTATAAGCTAATTCATGTGGATATTTATTTGCCAGGTTGTCCATCTAAATCGAAAGCAGTTAAAAATACTATAACGAAACTTTGTAAGAAAATATTTCGANCTTCGTAAGAAAATATTTCAAGAAATCTATGAAGATAGAATTGGGTCTCAACAAATAAATAGGTGTTTTACTACCAAAAGCAATTTTCAAGTTGGGCGTAGAATGAATACTGGGAATTATGATCAAGAATTCATTTATCAACCATCATGTACTTCGGAGATCCCTCCTGAAATTTTTTTCAAATATTAAAATTCAATATCTTCTCACGATTAGTGAGTAAGACATGATTCATTTGTATTGTACAGAATAACTAGTGGGTGAATCTTTATAAATTTGATCGAGAATGAGAAATAAACTGGTCACTACAAATACTTTTGTACAGCCTTTATGCAGAATTTTCATATTTCCACTTATCTTATAAGTTCCTTTCTGGTGAATGAAAGGATGTGTAATACTGTCCCATAAACTACCTCATCTGAAAGTCAAAACTGGTGTAAAGGCTATAAATTCATTTATTTGAACTTTGTTTTCAATATGCCGACAGTAAGAGTCGGTTTCTCCCCAAGGACTTCACAAGTAAGATTTTGTAAATAAGAAAGTAGATGATTCTTGAACTCGAGACCTTCGTCATTTTAGTACTATGTTAAACCATATTATTTAAACGCTAAAATCTTTCTTAAATGACATGTTTAAATTTTTCCTTCAATAATATCATTGAAGCTACGACACGTTTTACATGCGCTAATTTTGTGTTGCAACACCTATCTAGGCATTCTTCATTAGTGGGTAATAGAGATTAAAAATTTGTGATAATGCAATGACATTTTAAAAAAAAAAAAAAAAAGTCATAGGGCGATATAATTTGAGAAAGCAAATGGAATGGTAAACGGTCAATATAAAAAGGTGAAATCTATACATGGACGATCTCTTGTCCACGGTGGACAAGAGCTTATTATGCCCAGAATTGACTTGGCAATGGCATGTCGCAAGTCAAGCCGTCATTGTTGACAATTCAACGATTTGCCACGTTAGCTATGGACATATTTTATCCTGTCCACTGTGGGTAAGAGAATAATTCTGAAAGTCCATAATATTTTTGGTAACAAGCAAAAATAAAGTACTAAATTTAACTCAAAGCTCTCTTTTGTGGTTCCACAAAGTAGAATATACGAGTATTGGTCCTCTACGGAGGTCGAGGTAGAAGCCCGGATGACTCCTACTATCAATAAAGTTGTCCCACTTCGACATAGACCGTTTCTTTATCGTGAAAAGAAAATCATAGTCTCACTGAATTATTGACGAAAATTAACATCTAAGAATATATAAGCACTTTTTGAAAAGTCCTAAAAGATGGATTCAAGAATTATAAGAATGGTTGACACTTGGACCACAGAAATTATCACACTGAAGCATAAAAAAGAAAGAGCAAAAGAATTTGTATGGCATACAAAAAGAGAACGCAAAAGTTGTAGTGCTCACTTTAACTATCACTCCCATGTGTATTTGCACCTTTTTGGAGGCCAAGAAAATTTTACTTTTATTCTCAACTAAGGAATTAACATTGAATGGGCAGGCAGCCGAGTAACAGTGTTTGGCACGTTAATTTTCATCGTACAGGATATAACTTTAAAAAAAAGTAACATGAAATAAATTCCTCGTATTGATTATTTCATTAAGTCATTTGTCCCAGGAAATTTTTTAAGGTCCAAAATCTTCTTTAAATGAAAATTCATGAATGCGGTTGCGCCTTCAAAGATTGTACGTCAACCATGAAATTTTATTTTAAAATATTTATAGAATGCTCGTACAAAGTTCAGCCTAAACCCCTAAAATCTCAAGGTGGAACCCAGTATTATACAAATACTAGCGAACCCTTGTCATTTTTTTCTTATCGTTTCTCTTGTTTTTTGCTTTGTTATTTGAGGGTGGGGAATTGCAATTTTTCACTTCCAATCAATTAAGCTATTCAATATAGCACATTTTTTTTTATTACTCATTAAAGTAAATTAAGTTAGAAAAAAAAAATTTCTTTTGGTTTCTTGTATTAAGGGACAAATTGTTTAGTGGTAAAATATTATCCCTTGTTAATTTAATCCACGTGACTTAGTTTAAAAAATTGAAAGTAGGAAGAAAGAATTATGATTTGAATGAATTGTCTTTCCTTCACATAGTGGGCAATATTAATAAATGATGATAGCAAAGGTTCATTTCGAAGACCCCTCGGGTTTTTGACCATTGCAATTTGTCCTCTATAATTTTGAAATATATAGCCTTCCTCTTCTTTGCCATGCGTGTACTTTCTTTTTTTTTTTTTAATATGAAATTCACAATTTGACACCTAAGATTTCATGAGTAAATACTTTCGCATGAGCATAATCGATTTTTCGATTAAATATATTACGAGATGTTTTTTCATACATTGCAGTTATTTCTACACATTCTAATCGACTTGAACAACATATATGGATAGTGAAGCTATTAAGAGAAGAAAATAATAAAACATGTCAATCATTTTGTTCAATCTTGTTGAGTCCATTGCACTAAGCATAGTGTTGGGATATATTTGATACATCAAAAATGCTAGATGTACACTACATTAGCATGACATTTGATGTGGTGTCAAAAAAAGGGATTTGAGGAAAAATTATTCAATATTTTAAATTATTCAATGGTGTGTTGTTACATACAAAGTGTAAAGAATGATGTACAAAATGTTTGGTACATTGAATGTATTTAATTTATTTTCTTCTTCAACAAAGTCCACTATAGCTTGATAATATATTATAGGGTACATTAAGTTTGAATAATACTGAATAAGATTTGACGATATTATGTATAAAATTTTAATGTTATTATTTTGATATTCAATGTTGCAAAGTTCATCTTACATGTCACTATTATTTAGAGCCCTTGAGAAGCCAAAGTCATCTCCTTGTAAGGTCAACTTCGTGTCTTCAAATACTTCTATACTTACAAAGATATTGAATTAGATAGGCAAAGTTTTCCCTTGATACCTAGATATGACTTCTTTATTTCTTTTTTTAATGCCTGGTTAAGACTTGTAAGGTCAATATACTTAAAAATTAATGTATTTTATAATTATTTTAGCTCAATTAAGCTAACTGTTTCGCGTGTTTTACTCGCTAACAATTAAAAAAGTCCCAAAAATGGGTGTTTATTGAATATGAAGACTACAGTTTGGATACGAACAAGATGCCTCCAAGTGGCGCAAGCACACAAGTACAGAGGAATTGAAGTAATTAAAATTAATATAAGGAAAAGTAAATTACATATTTTCTGTTTGAGAGTGAATTTTGTCGGGGCAGTCTTCGTTGTCTTCTTCTTTCTTTTATACGGTTTGAGCAGTTTCTAATTGTTTAAAAACTGCTTGTAACTACCCACTTCTTTCATAATGGTCGACTTGGCCAATAACCACTGTGTGTAACTCACATCACCACGTCTTCTTCATAACTGTTTGTCACTAATTTCGTCAAATCGTGGGGCGTAATTGTGATGTGCTCAAACCGTCTTAGATCGTGATTTTGGATAACAACAAACTTTAGTCATTATTGGGATTCTAGGCAACTCAGCATTTTGGGCGACAATTGGTCTTCTGCTCTGAGCGATTATAGGGTGTTTCATTCGCTCAACATCTGGACGTTCTGCAGGCTTGGGCGACGATGAACCTTTGTTTTTGGGCTTTGATCATATTTAATGACATTTCTGGTTGAGCTTTTACCCTGATCTCTCTAAATGGGCTTCTTCTCTTGGACCATTTCTTCTCTTGGACCATTTGAGTTGGGCTGTATATTTTGTGTGTCAACACTAACATAGAATAGTTGCTCCAAGAAAATAAGAGTGATACTAATTAATATATAGTAAGTTGACGGTTTGACTACTCTTATTGCTTACTATATACCTCGAGTACAAATTTTCTTTGTTTTCTAAAATAAAGTGCTTAGTTACGAAAAAGAATAGTGGTTTGAGTACCTAGCAATTGAGGACTTTAATACACGAAAATCTAAATATTGGGTGCCTTTTTGACATTTTAAAAACTTCAGGCCTGAATCTGAAATTACCATATACCTAAGGGATGATCAACCGAAAGAAAAAAGCTTTGAATATACGACATCCTGATCCTATACGCATCGATAAATATTACTTCCTCAATGATTTGCAAAGAATCTAACTTGAACCTCGAACCCACAAACAACGAGTCACTATTCGCCACGTTTACATCAAGACCTACGTGTCAAAATTTTACAATTCAAGAACACAAAATTTCCATGATCCTCACTGCATACAATAAAATCCTTGTTCTATTATTCTCTTGCATGAAATAATCTTCTGAATTTGATGATAATTTGATGATCAATGACACTGTACAGCAACATCTTTCACTTTATTTTCTTTTAAAGTTCCTTTTTCTTATCTTCTTCTTTGATTTTCCTTTTATAATCTTCTTACATTATTAAGAGTAGTCACAAAGCAAAATTTTAATGGAAAATTCAGATCATAACAAGAAATCTTTGAGAAGAAGCAGTAATAATCATACATCAATGTCTGATACTGATTCGACAACGAGCCAAGTCGAGTTTTATTCTCCTCTACGATATGACTCACCGCTTCGTTCAGATGATTTTCATGTTGAAAATGATAAGTATGGTAATGGAAGTAATAGAGCTATTGTTGCTGTTGATACGCATTATTCCCCATTTCCGTTGCCGCCCGGAAAACCCAATTTACCGGCGAGTTCTCCGGCTGTTAGAGGGAAGGGATGGAAGCCCTGGCCTCATTCTGAAAAGCCCACGTCGGAAAATCTTGATTTTCCTGCGAGTCAAGGGATGCTCAGGTCAGAGAATCTAGATTTTCCGGCAAAGAATGGACGGGATGGTGCTCGTGGTCCACCTGTATCGGGGCTTAACCGGTATTATGTAAGGGATGAGGTGGAGGAGGGGTACGGTGGAGGCGGTGGGGAGGATGAGGTGGGCGGAGAGTGGCGATCGAGGGCTGCTGGGGAATCGATATTGGAGAGGTCAAAGGCGGAGTTTAAAATGAAGAAGGTTGCATTGTTTTTTAGAGTGTTTGAAGTGACAGCTTGCTTGATTTCGTTTTCTGTAATGGCTGCCGATAAAACTCAAGGGTGGAGTGGCGATTCATTTGATCGGTATAAAGAGTACAGGTAGAATTCTTTCTTTTGATTCATATTTCTCTTTCAATTTATTTGTTCTTTTTTATTATTATGAAAGATTTTGCTATATGTTTATTGAGTCCCGATTTTTCATTTTAAAAGATTGAATCTTGTTAAGAGTAGTCCTGAAATTAACTATCATTTGAACATTTTGCAACGAATTTTGGTGGCAGAAATGTTGTCTTTTTGTCTTTCTTTTCTTTTTACCCAAACATAGAAGAAAATGTTAGGAATTTCGCTTTTTTAGTACCCTTTTTTGGCAGAACAAATACTATGTTTGGAATTAAAGAGATGAACATTTTAGTGCAAGTTAAACAAGGTGTGAAAAAGTAAGCTTTCACCCAGAAGCCCCTGATGAAAGGCCTCGGTACAGAGCTACTTGTTTCTTAGTCTATGTTTGGCTGTGTTTATAAACTGTTTATAAATACTCTTGTCACTTTTTATCTACATCTTTGAGGGATCCACATGTAGTACCCACTTATCCACTTCTCATTTTTATCTATTTATAATTTAAAAGGTTTATAGTTCGTTTTTGTCATGATGGTGTAGCCCTCAATAGAGTCTAGTTCTTGCTTTCAATAATCATTTCTTGTTTTTACTACTCTCAGTAGTATGGAATTCAGTGTTCAATCCATAACAATTAAGCTGATTCTAATTGTTCTTTTATACAAATGCTGAGGATTATGACTCTGATGTGTGAAAATGGAATCAAATCTTACCAAGTTCACGTCCTAATTATTTCGAAGTAAACTACTTACTTTTGTTGTTTTTTGATGCAGGTATTGTCTATGCGTGAACATTATTGGATTCGTATATTCTGGATTTCAAGCAGTTGGTTTGGCCCATAATTTGGTCACGGAAAATCACGTCTTCGCTGGTTATCTACCATACCATTTCGATTTCTCAATGGATCAGGCAAGTAATTTTCTCTGATGCTCTTTCTGAACAATATAGAAATCTATTTGTGGTTTAAAAGTGGCACAATGAAGTTGTTCTCGTTCGTTATATTCACTTTGAGGCCTTGTTACAGAAGCATCCGTTCCCACTTGGAAGTTATTGGATTGTATGGAGCCTAATTGTAGTGTTTGCTTTTTCCTCAATTGCGAATTGATCTCTTTCTACTATAGCGTCAATTGGGAAAAGGGGACAGAGTCCATCAGCCAATTTATTTGCTATAGGAACTAAATAGGTGTCGAACTTCTTCTTGATTATAGTAAAAAATCTTTAACAGCCCGTGGATATAACACTCACATTGAGTTGAGCTGAACTACTCTAAATCCGGGTGTTCTTGTTTGTTTTCTGATTTTTCTTTTGATTAGAATTTTGCTTTCGAAGTTAGGGACTAAGGTTTAATCCATGACGCAAGTTGTCTCTACAGCGTCTAGTCTGATTTATCACGTATACTTTTCTAAAAGGATGCTCGTATTCGTGTTTAGCAGAGTCTGGCTTATCTTCTAATATCGGCATCATCCTCAGCAGCTACACGAGTGCACGACTGGATATTGAATTGGGGACAAGACGAGTTCACATTGCTGGCCAGTGCATCTGTAGGGATGTCGTTCATGGCTTTTCTTGCCTTCGCCATTAGTTCTATCATATCGAGTTTCAAGCTCTGGGATCGTGTTTCAACTTAACCTTGCATCAATCTGCATCCGTATATCCTTAGTTTTGATATTCTTGAGAAATTTCTGTAGGAAATTTGATCAGAAATGTCTGATGTTGTAAAGTCGTAGGGGTACATCAATAATATTTTTTTCTGCATTTGTACGAAGTGGAGTTCATGAACTTTATCATGTTTCAATAAATATATTATTCCACATAATATTTATTCAATAAAGCTACTGTGACAGGGATGGCAGCTAGGGTTTGGTGACAACACTGACATGGCGAGCTGGGATTCGCCTGTTTTTTGTTAAAAAAATCCATCTTCCAATGATTTGGTGACAAGTGTTGTTTGTCACCAAATTCTGTCAAAATTCCCAGTAGCATAACTCATATTTATTACTCATGTTGAGATGACAATTGATGAACTTCCAGAATGAACAAAGATCCAGTAAGGAGAACCTTTACAATCCGTCTCTCCAGTTGAGCCTTTTCCTTTTCTCATTGTAATGTTCGTTAATATTCAATAATAATTGATGCTACCAAAAATTCGTACCTGGATTGATCAGAAGGTGATGGTTGAACTTCGCACGCTACGATCGTCGAATACCTAAAACAAGGCAGCGAGATGTATCCTCGTCGCCCCTCCAATGCTTAAGTCAGAAAGAGGAATGACAGAATATTGTATGCTTGAGTATTATTAGAAAAAACGTACCTGAATAATGAGAAGGGGATACATATTTAAAGAGGTTGATGGCTGAGTCCTAGACGGACTAATATTCCCATACGGGAGGTGTTTGTGTTGTGCTAGAATTGGGTTAATTGATTTAGGGTGAAACTTAAGGCAACTGGAGAGTCAATGTTTGAATTGAACTAGTATTCTAGGGGCACGTGAGACGAGGGGGAGGACACATGAGTTAAGGAACGGGGTGCACATGATTATAGGCTCGACCTATAATGCTCGATCGAAAGCCATTATCCAAAAATAATGGTATGAGGTACGGCCCAGTGGGTCAAGCAATATGGACCCGACCTAGTAACCCCCGACTTCAACTGTGGGCTGGAGCCCAGCAAACTGGGCCAAGGTCGAGATCGAGTTTAGCATCATCAATAATGAATTCTAAATAGGGAAAAATTCATTTCTCCTACTTTATCTTTACCCTATTTCAAAAATAACAAAACAACTTTCACATTTCAAAATTCAGATTTTTTAGCCTATACATATACATAAATATAAATATTTATATATATATATATATATAAATATATAAAAAGATATAAATAAATAAAATTAACCCACCCCCNCACAGTCCAATTCACAAGTCACAGTCCCGGTCACAACTCAGGTCACAACTCAGGATTTTGTTCATAGTCACCGATTATTTTCAAATAATCACAGCATAGGTTACAAAATTTTTTTGCACATGGCTCAGATTAATATTTAGTCACAAATAGTCGAATTTTAAGGTCACAATTAATCCATTATGCGGTCACAATTAGTCCATTATGCGGTCCTATTGGTCACGAAACATAACCCAGATTCAAACAACCGCCGCACCTCACCACACCACCACAACCACCAGACCATCGCCTGCATCGCACCACCACCATTTACATAACACCAACAACACACTAATAAAAACAGCCTAAAAACAGCAAACCACAGCAACCACCAATAAAAACAACCATAGTCAACCGAAAGCCTTTCAAGCAACAGTGATCCAAGCCCAGATCCGGTACTACCACCAACAGCATGGAATACCATTCAACCGCTGCGCTCACCAATCGCAAACCACAGCAAAAAACACAAAATTGCAGAACCAATCCAACCCATGGCTTCGCACACCAATCACACCAGGACACACACTAATCGCACCCACTGCCGCGCACACCAAAGAGGACAATGTGCGTTGGTCGTCGCTTCGAGCTCCAGCGTCGTCGGTGGTGGGAAGAGAGGTGGTAATTACAGCATGGAATACCATTCCGGATCTGTAGTAATGGATGGGCAAAACGGCATCGGCTCCGTCACAACGACACGTATCACGCACCAAAGCCGGAAACCATATCTTACCGTTGCATCTGTGCGATTTGTGGCTGCTCCTCCAAGTCACCCGTTGACGCCGACGGGTGATGGTGTGTGAAGTTTGTAGGTATGGTGCCGATGGGCCAATGGGCGACGCGATCTGTGGGTATGGTGGCAGCGTGGAGAGAAGCCCATTTCCACACCGTCGTGAGAGTGAGAGTGAGAGAGAGAGAGAGAGACTGGAGAGAGATGAGTGAGAGACGTGAATTAGCTAGCCAATTAGGGTTGAATATTAATTTAGGTGTATATATTTTAAGTTTCATAATATTATTATTAATATTTAATTAAATATAAAAAAAATCTGTATCTATATATAAAATATCTGATTTTTGAAACTTAAACCTTAAAATCTGATTTTAGAATTTGGATCTCCAAAAGTAGGGGATGGTGTAATTTTCACTTCTAAATAATGCATCATTTGTTTAAAATTGTATGTAACATAGGAAAAATTGATGATAGAACTTGTACTAATTGGGCATTGAAGAATGTAAACCAATTTACAAAATGATAGTTAAAGAGTCCCTTTTTAGCATGTGATGGTTGAAAAGAATAGTGATTATAGAGAGATTCAAAAGAATTGGAGGAGAAATATGATTAACTTTCTTAAGGTATATAGATTACATGTGTAAGTTATATACAAGAATTTACAGAACTAATCCCACAAACATAGCTAACTTAATTTAAATTCAAACTAAACTAAACTTATCCTTGGAACTTCTCCATCTTTATGTTATGATTTCATTCACACATTTCAACACTCCCTCTCAAGTTGGAGCATGTACATTGATTGTCCCAACTTGCTCATGTGTGAATATAAAAGGGAGCCTTTCCAAGAGCTTTAGTGAATGTCAGCAACCTGTGTCTGAGATGTAGTAAATTTTGCAACTAATGGACCGAGCTTGATCTTGTCTCGAACCACATAACAATCCATCTCAATGTGTTTAATTCTCTCATGAAAAATTGGATTTGTAGCTATGTGTAAAGCTCTTTTCTTGTCACAATGCAAGTTTGCTGGTGTCTTGACCAGTGTTCCAAGATCTTTGAACAGATATCCAAGCCAAGTTAGTTCACATGTTACTGCTGACATGGCTCGATATTCTGCCTTTGTAGAAGACCTTGAAACAGTTGTTTGTTTCTTTGCTCTCCATGAAGTAAGTGAACTACCAATATAAATTCAATACACTATTATTAATCTTCTTGTAGTTGGACATCCACCCCAATCAGCATCGTAGTATGCAGTCAATTTAAAATCACTTTGTGATGGAAATAGAATCACATTTGGGCTCTCACTATAGTTGTTTAATTAACTCAATTGTCATGTTTTCAACTACAATTGATGTTGTTGAGAAGATTGCTACCGACACTACAAGTTCGGAATAAGAGGTGATGCATGTTTTTTATTCAAGTTGATGATAAAATTTGAATTTCATTTAATCTACATCTTATGAAAAAAATCTTAAAAATTTAAAATGAATTGTCGAAAGCATTACAAAAGAAATATCGAGATATTATCGATGTCACGAGATTGGTGAAATTGTATAAGTACAATTCCAATCCATGAGAGATGATGGATGGGATTATTTTTTTTGGAATGTTTTGTTCATTCTGTGAAGCTCACGAAATCAATGTTCTCAATATGAATAATATGTTCATAACTCTAGGTCATTTACGGTGTGACATTGTGGCAAATTTGTATCATTTTTGTGTAGATGGCGTGACATGGTGGCAAATTTGTATGAATTGAAAAAATTTCATTCAAGGCTTTAGAGTTCCGATTTTAGTTATTAAAGTCCTTTGTGACCATCTCGTTTAATTTTTTCTCCCTTTCCACATTATTTTTAGTGATGATCGGTTTTTTATATTTAGAGAGTGCCATGTTTTAATGTCTAAGTTTTGAATATACACTCTCATCCTAATTGTGGGTTGTGGTTCTTAAACCCCTTTTTGGAAGTGAAAATGCATTTTTCTTTCAGCCTGTCCACTTGGCGTGATCTTATTGGGTCATACCACTCCACCTGAATCTGTTTTAGTTTGTTACTTACCTGGGCCATTGGATTATATCTAAGGCTGATGTTGAGGGTATATATTTTACCTAGGGTTACTATAACGTCACTTTTGATTCATTTTTTGGTTCTCTCATACGTTCTTTCAATCTGGTTCTCTTTGTGGCGACTTTGGGGGTTTTCTTCGAGAGTTTCCATTCAGTTCTTGAGTTGTAATTAGTTTGCTGGTTTATATATTTTTGGTCAGGTCTGAGCCTTGATTATTGAGGGTTTATTGTGACTATGTACGGTACTTTAGGTTATATTTGTTGATAGGTAAATCTGCACTTTGTTGATAGGCTTTGAAGTTCCTGATTATTGTATAGATTAGGCTGATTTGGGAGATCTGTTTGTGGATCGATGATCTTTTAGATGTATCATTTTCTGAGTCTTCGTTGTAAAGACTTGTATCATTTTCTCTTGAAGGTTCTTGCATAGTGACGGCCTCGATTTACCTCTGAGCCCCCCAGATTAGGCTTGGCCGAACTACGTGAACAATCTCTTGTGTTATCTTTAATTTCTGAAGTGTGTGTCTTGGGCGTATTTTTACTGTTTGTGTTACATTTGGGTGAAATCAATCCCAACATTAATCTTTCAATAAGTATAATTAGTACTATCTAACATAAGGGGTCTAAACGCTGCATCTTCCATTCCTAGAATTCGTGACCTCACTTATAAGAAGTAAACCAACTCCGATACAAAGTGTTAGAATCGAGTTCAACCATCTCATCTAAAAATCAGTTGGTATCCAGTGAGAGTAGGCTAAACCCTTTATGGTATTTGATCACCATCATTTGAATGACCCAATTTATAGACTTAAGAACAACATTGTTGCACTCCAACACTATATAGGTTGATGAGGCGAATTGGGATGCCCTTTGCATAATACGAGGACTGAAAAATATGT